TCACAGATACACGATACGGCGACCGATGAGCAGGAAGTGCGTCATCATGAGTAATAATTCGATGTTTCGCAACCGTCGTTTGGCGCACCTTTGACGACGTGGAAAAGCACTCACTGAACTCGGTGAGAAGGTCACTGAGTTGTCGTCGTTGTGGGGTAGGCAGGGCTGGATCGATGTCAAACTGCGAATGCGGCATTGCCTCGTGTGGCCCCGAAGAGATGTCGTCTGCTATTGTGGCGATTGCGGCTCAGTCCACGAGTTTCTCGGCGGCACCCACGGCGGTGCCTTTCGTAAGGTGCTGAGCCTCCTGTCGGAAGTTTGTTACGAGTGCAACAGTGCGTTCGTCTTGGAGCTCACCGATGCCTCTTGCGACGCCGATCCCTCTTCCTAGAAGCAACTGGAGGCTTCCCTTGAGCAGAACGTCGCCGCTGAAAGCCCCGTCGATCCCGATGGATACAAAAACACTGGACCGCGGCGGTAAGTTCACGTGATTTGCGAGGACTCGGACCGCGGATGACGTCGCTTTGGGTTCCTCCAGCGCTGGAGCAGGTTTTCGTAGCGTCAGCCGGTTTTTTCCGAGGTCGATGACGACGCCATACTCGCAAAGAAAGTCTATTCTTAGGATAACGTCTCTCTAGCAGTCTTGCAGAACGACGAACTTGATACGGCACGTCTCACCGTGGATCTCGACGCGAGCAGTGCACCTTCCGACAGGCGTAATGAGGTGTCCTCCGGCGGTTCGTATCTGTGGTCCATCCCACGGCGTCGTGACTTTTCAAAGGTGGCGAGGGAGCCTCCCACTCAATACTGAGTAGTGTGCCCCGGTGTCAACGAGTGCCGATGCGTTCTGGCCATCGATAACAACGTTTAGGTTGTTGGACACCGTTGCAGGCGCGTCGGTGCAATGCGGGGCGTCGGGAGAGTGGGAGCGCTCCGGCGTTTTTGGAGGCTGTTTGCTTTCGTCGTTTTCGGCAACGTCACCTCCAGGCGTTGCCGCACTCAGTTTTCCCGACGAGGCAGGAGAGACAGGCTCTTTCGTCGGGATTGTGGCGCTGGGGAGGCTGAACGTCGTGGCGATGGGGAGCGGGCTTCACGGCGGAGAGGCGACACTAGGGAGGGCGAACGTCGGAGGTACTCCTCGATGTTGAGAGGGCATTCACCGTACCTCGGGCGTGGGTCGTTCGGGTGGAACCCACGCGGGCCCATTTGCCGGTAGGGACAACGGCGGTAGATATGGTCCGCCTCCCTGCAGTGGTAGCAGATGGGTCGTCGATCCGCTGTCCTTCACACGTCGGTTTTCCTTGGCGCCGGCTGTTCTCGGCGGTCGTACTGACGTACTTCATCGCTGCGCCGGGGGTACGCCTGCGTTGGTGGGTCTCGTCGTGGCGCCACCATGTATTGTTGAGCAGTTGGCGGTGGTCGTCGGGCCACTGCGGCGTAGGCCAGCGTCGGCTCATCGGCTGCGGCCACGCTGGCGGTAGTCTCCGGTTGAATTGCCCGCTGAACTTCTTCGCGTACCACTTCGGCTATCGACAGCGAAGCCGGCTGGTTGGCAGCAGGCAGCAGCTTCCTGAGTTCTTCCCGGACGACGTCCCGGATGATGTCGCGGATGTCCGGGATTCTTCAGCTGGACGGCGAGAGGGCAGCGAAGCGGGGTCTCTGGTAATGTGAGGCCCGTGCGTGAAGGGCACGTTGGATGTTGGTGGCCTCAGTAATGAAACTTTGGACAGTGGTAGGCGGGCTCCGCACGAGGCCCCCGAAGATGTTTTCTTTCACGCCGCACATTAGGACCCGCAACTTTTTCTCTTTGGGAGCTTTTGGGTCGGCGCGGTTCATGAGGCGGAGAACGTCTTCGACGAATCTTGTGACGTTCTCGTTTGGCCCTTGGTGTCTCGCTTGGAGGAGTTCTTCGGCACGCTGTCGTGCTGCTGGTTGGCAAAGGTGCGTCGCAGCTCGGCCTGGAACTCTTCCCACGTCGAAATTGAGGCTTCGTGGTTCTCGAACCAGGTGCGCGCCGTGCCTTCCAGAGCGAAGTAGACGTTCTGACGGCACTGCTCTGGTGTCCACTGGTTATGGCGGGCCACTCGTTCGTAATGCTCTAGCCAATCCTCCACATCCTCATGCGCCTCACCAGGGAATAGCGTCGGATTGTGTTGGGCGACAGGCATGAAGACGACGGATGGAGCGGTCGAGGTCTGCGGCGACTGGTTGTTCATCGTCGCCCTGTTTGACTGCTCGGTCCTGGGTGGCAAAGGTCCAAATTCCGGGTGTAGGCCTTGAATGCGGCGACTTAATCGAGTCTTGGTACACTCTTAAAAAAAAGAGTCGCTATGACTCTCTTTAGGGGGTATTGGCGCGCCGCAGAATCGACTCCAGTTAGTAGAGTCGCTCGACTCTTTTTTTAAAGAGAGTCGCCATGACTCCTTTGCGCGCTACAGATTTGACTTCTCCACGACTCCAGATTGTAGAGTCACTTGACTCTTATTTAAAGAAGAGTCCTGCTACTCTCATCACACTATTCTTCGTTTCAGCTTCCGTCCGAGCGCAGCCAAAGCTACGTGTGGCCGGAGCCAATCACACGCCGGCAATAGGTCACGCGATCTCGCCTGCACTTTTGTATCACTCCGCTGCGCCGCCGGTCGGCCGCGCCGCCTGCTCTCGCCGAGTATTTCGTCTGCTACGGGTGTACCAACTGTATCGTCTGCGACGGTTTAAAAAGTGCCCTTTCGCGTTCTGAAACTTAGTCACAGGGGATGTCAGTACGTATAGGCTGGCCGCTGGCATTTGTGTCCGAGCTTTCCACTTGTTCGGCATAGTTTCGAGTTGTGAGTACACGTTGCAAGGTCCCCGATGACCCGGCCGTTGACGTTTCCTTGTATTGTTTGGATATACCAGGGCTCGAGGCGCAGTCCTTTCCACTAGCTTCTCGGCGTTCCATGTGATCGGCAGGTAAAGGGGTGCCCTGATTTCGCCGCGTATCTGAATTGTTGTGGCCCGGACGCTTTGCTTGTTTACAACGCATTCGCGGTACAACGCGGCCGGAGCCTCCTGCCGAATTTGAAAGTAGACATTCAGCACGACTTCTCGCGCCTGACGCCCAAACGCGCCTTTGCGAAGGGCGTTTTGAAGCGATTCGACCATCGATGAGGAAAGCAGCGAAGCACATGATTCGGCGATTACGGGAACGAAATCACAGAAAAACCGGGCGCTGCAGCCGTGTTGCCAGCGGATATACATGTTTTCCCCAAACCACATGCATTTACATATATTAATAGAAACATAAACTTCAGAGATTTGATTCCTTTAGTTGCAAATCATTTTCAGCAGTACACATCTGGAACATTGTGCAGTTTTTACGCCCAAAACAGTTATTTTAAAAGAAATTATTTTTGTGAACTACTTTGTGGTGCGTAGGAATGCTCTTCTCGAAGTTGCAAACCGTCCCTCAGCCTTTGGCTGCGCTCGGACGGAAGCTGAAACGAAGTATAGAGTCATGGTAATGTATGGGCGACTCCAGGTGACATAGTCAACTGCGACTCTTTAACGACTCTTATCCAACGGAGAAAAAGAGTCACACGACTCATTCCTGGTAATCCCCGTGACTCTGTAACAAGAGTTGTGAGGACCCTCCTTTTATGAAGAGTCCCCCGACTCCTATCGCAAAAGGGTCATGGGAGTGTATGAGCGACTCTCCGAAAGATAGTCAGTGCTGACTCTCACTTTGTCTGGAGTATAGCAGCCCTAGTCAAGTATCAGTTTGTTGAACAAAGGGAGGCATTGTGATCGCTAGGAGACTTCTTGCCGCCTGCGAGGTTCAACTTGAATTACTCTAAAACAAGGGTAGTAGCATCAACTGTGTGAAAATATAAAAGTTGAAATGGGAATTTCGATTCCACCTAAAAGAAGCGGTAACATCAATTGTCTGCAAGTGTAAACGTCGAAATGCAGAACTGATATCTTACAATTTCCTGTAATGAAACATGGAAAAATGAACGATGATGGTCTTAACGATGCTGAACTGAATGCTGCTCTAAACTTTATCATGAAACACAACAGAAGCTTTCAGGACAGCATTGTTTTGTTACATTGGAATTTGCACACAACAAAGAAAAAGTAGCTTAACTTTCTATTAGTTTGGTTATACTTATCATTTACAATAGGTTGTATATCTTTCTTTGTCACATGTCTATACTATTGGCAAGAGCTGGTGTGAACGAGCATGTTCTGTTGCTTTATGCCTGCTTTCAGTGGGCAGGTGGGTGGCAATAAATTGCCGGAATCTTCAAATTTAACAATAAAGATAGCTGTTTTCTCTCAGCTCATATCACTGCCATTTTCCAAATGCAACTTCATGACTTCTACCATGCAGGTACTGCAATACAAGAAACAAGTATTTAAAACAATTACTTCATTAGAAATTAATGTGATACATATTGGTTCAAAAGCCTACTTCGGCTTATCACAGGGGTTTTATCACAAACACTAAACAAATAACATCATAAGAAATAATACTAATACACAAAACTGGTATAACTATTAGACAAGAACAAAAATAAATTACAATGACAAGTTTTGTGACGGCTTGCTTTGCCTGCTTGGTATTGAGGATTAAATTAGAGTTAAAAAAAATGACAACAAGTTTCCTAAAAGCTTTGTTTGCCTACTTGCTGTTTTTTCAAAGCTTTGTTTTTCTTTTTGCAGTTTCTTCTTCTATGGTTTGAATCCTCATATCAACAGATGCACAAACAAAAATCTAACAGAAGTTTAGATACACAATGGAACACACAAACCTTTGTGCTATAGCTGGAATATTCACCAAATACATATGGAAAACATTAAAAGAGTAACCAATATTGGTAATTCTTTTTCCCTGTTCTTGGAATGTGCTCCAAGTGCTGTCACAACTTTTACAGCTCTTACCGAAATCTTTGTATTTTTTTTACCCATGAGGGTGCTCAAACACAAAAAGTGTGCTTCGTCAATTCCCCCCACATACTGACCTTTCTATGCTCAGTACATGGCTAATACCCGAGAGATTCCTGCTGAAAAGTCCAGGATGTCGATTGATAGGTCCTCGCAGACAACGCACATGCTGCCAGATGTCCATGGGTGCTTTCCAGTGAAAAGTAACGCCGGGTTCCCTAACGTCTTTACTGGGTGGGTCCTGGGAAAAAAAAGCCAATGATAAGAAATAAGTTCTGGAAGTCAGACAAAGTTGTAGGTGAGCAAAGTAAAATTGTCGAGGACATGTCAAATGCCCGCAGTGTCATAGATGGAAAGTCCATGCAACAGGGTGAAGGCAAGTGAGGCAAACGCCCATTGCTGCCTTTCTATATTTCGCTTTCCCCAATTCTCACTTGATTCTGAAGCATTTCGTATGGTGGAACTAGTGCATCAGGGTGTCTACCAAATTACTGATTTCAAATTCCTCGACTTTTCTTAAATTTCCCTTGACTATTTTGATAAAAAACTTCCTGACCACTTCTGGGTCAAAGGATCATAATTCGGAAACATTATTCAGCATAGTCGTGCCCATGTGCAACCATCAAGCTTTGTTTCGTATCGCCGTTCCACTCTCAGTGGTTATTTTCCCTGATAAACCCAACTTTTTGACGATTTCCTTGAGAATTTCAGGTTGGTAGACACCCTGATGATGTATCAGGTTACAGATGGACACCATAAAAATTCAGACAATTGCATTCAAAATTATTTTAGCCATCAGGAGGAACCTAAAATATTCCCATGGAGAGAGATAGAGAGTGGAGGGGCGGGGGAGGCTGCTGCTGCTATTGTCTGCTTTTTCTTTTAAAAGAATATCAATTTAAGGCTCAAAGGGAACGTAAATAATAAATCAGTAAGTGCACTGAGAGCACTTGAAGCACAAGGGGCACGGTTCCTACTGAGGAAAGGGGGAGGATACCAAGTCTAGCTGAACCTGTTCTGCAGCACCCTGCATAATCTAGTTGCTAGGCAAGACTGGGGCTTATTTACTGAGAGTGTCTAGTACAGTCAAAGAAAGCATTATAAAATTCTTTGCTGGGCAAGGTGCTTCATGGCTGCAATGAAAGAAAAGAGTACATTAAGGCAGGGACAAGAAAGGAAGGGAAGACTTTTTTTCTGAATAAACAAGTTGGTAGTGAGCGCTTGTTTCTTCCTTTCTCGTCCCCGTCTTATTGAGCTCCCTTTTGAGTTGTAACGAAAGCAAGCCACGATGGAATTTAGAGAGGGCTTAAAGCTTGCTTTAACATCTGTGTGCATGTGAGGGAATGCTTCATGTACAAGGCCTACTACAAGGTAGTAATCATTACAATCATCAGCAACAAAAAAAAGAGTACATAATGCATCTTTGCACTACAAAGTCTCATAACTTTTCATCTGCTGTACCTATATAGGCATCTTTTGCATGCAGAAATGGCGGGACACTAAAACTAATAGCAATTTGTTTATCACCTTTGCCTAGATAAATGTTTCCGAAGTTTGGCAGGAAAGACCCGCCTTCCAACATGAGCCCGAATCTGGTCTTTGGTTTGTTCTGAAGTCATGGCCAAGTACTCGTAATAAAATATTGAAATAAGCAGTTGAGAAGACAGCAGATGATACTTATCACACTTGGTCTCCAGCTTTAAAAAAAATATGTTTACAGATTGGCATAGCGAAGACACCCTTTCAAACACATTTATCTTAAACAACCATAGTTACATGTGATTTATCTTCAGCATGAGTAGTTACATCTACCACGCAAACGGCACGGCTTTCCTCTGCTCTTGTCCCTTCCCGCATCTTGTTTTCTTTAGCGAAGATCGACATTGATAAGAATAGCGTAGGCCCTGACGACAGCAAACTGAGCTTGTTAGTGGTTGTCCGCACCAATTTAATCATAACAGTCTAACCCTCTTTTTTAAGAATGCAAACAAACGAATGCTCTCCCACTAAAAAAAAAAACAAAAAAAAGGAGTAAAGTGGATTAGAGTATGACCATAGCACCTCTAAACTCACAAAGCCTGCCAGTTCGACGACGGAGTCATAGAGTGCCTGGTCACAGATTTGGAAAGTGAGGACTTGGTAGCACAGAGCATTAAAGAGCTATTCCTCGGGGAACCTGGACGTCAGCACACAGATTTTGCAGTGGCGAGGACCCAAAACATACTTTTTTCGTGTTTCGCGTCCGCTGCAGCGAGACTCTTCTCCGTTGTATGCCACTCCACCTTTTCCATTTCGGCGACCGCTCCTCGTGGCAATCTGCCAGGTTTTGTCAGTATAAAGGAGGCTATGATACGACATAAACTGGTGCTCTGTAGCGGGGCGCCATCCTGCTGTGTAATCTTTGGGCAGCCCCTTTGTCCACAGAACTCTGAGAATGTAGAGATTATCTATCCTACCTGTGATATTATCTGCAACTCACAAATTTCAGTGCTGCATTGGATTGTTTACAGCAAGGCATGCAAGTGAGTCATGTTTTTTTTTTATCCGCAAAACTTTCAAAAGGCCGAATTGTTTACCTCGGCAAAAACTGCACGGTTCGGGGCACAGCCACGCAGGCGGCAAGGCGTTGACACCAAGAGGTCCCGTTCTCTTTCCCTCGCTGGCTCTTGTGGCACCCTTGTCTCCGTCGACTGAAAGGAAAGTCCCTTCAGTGTCGTGCATACTTGAGCCTCCACTGAAGCAAAAATAATTCCATATGAACCTACTTGCCATTAAAGACCAAAGTTCACTTCTTCACTCTTATTTTCTACCGACCTAATACAATGGTTTGTTAACAGGAACACCGCCGTTAACTAGAAAACTCATTCGTAATGCAAATCCTACGTAGTAAGGAATCATGTTCAAGGTCTAATTAAACAACAAGCATGGGCACTAAAGACACCCTCTTACATGGGTGTGCATTAGTGGACCCGATTTGGCTAACATTTGCGAGGCCTAGCTTGACAGCATAATAAATGACATTGTTTCTGGTCACATTATTTTTTTTTTAGATGCCTTGGCATTAGTTCTGACCTTGGACTGGTTTTGAGCGCACCATTATCATGTTTGCAACTTCGCCATGGGAACCACGAAGTTCTTTCAAAACTAAATAGCAAGCTTTAAAATAAAATAACAAAAAAAGTTGTACAGATGCACGAATATAATTACCATTGTCTATGCCCTACCTGCTGGCACCTGTTTCCAGAAAAATCAACAAATACCAAAGTAATGCACATAATATACACCGTGAAGAGGCCTGCCGAGAACGTGATGAAATGCCAAGAACGCATGAACTGTTAAGTTTTCCGTTCACTGCATGGTTCTCTAAAGGCCCGTTCACACTCTTGCGACCTCTTAAAACTGGGTTCCTTAGAAGTTAGAACCTCTTACAACGGATGGATAGATGAATGAATCCAGCTGAGCCCTTTGGATCGGGCTGTAGCTTGTGCCACCCCCTTACAGAAATTTTTAATGAATTTCATTTGACAGTTTATGGAGTCTACTCATTACATCTTTTCGAGTCTCAATAGAAATGCAAACGAGTTTTGTAACGAGTCCGTAAGGAGTTTACGAAAACTATTGGCCACCGCGTTCCAATTGATGTTTCGACAAAGCTACCGCATAAAGTTTCCAATGTATTTCATATGAATATAATTTAAGTCTATTGACACCGTTTCGAGTCTGTGTTGAAAAACGATTGATTTTTTGTAACGAGTTCCTAAGGAGTTTACGAAAACTATTGGCCACCGCGTTTCAATTACGGTTTTGCCGTGCCACCTCATAAGAATTTCTAATAGATCTCATTTGAAAGTCTAGATACACTGCTTTGAGTCTCTGTTGAAAATCAAATGTTTTTTTCTACCACGTTGTACTTGAGGTTTTGACGTGCCATCTCATTAGGTATATTCCGACGAGTCGGAATATACCAAATGAGATGGCCCATCAAAACCTGAATTGCAACGCTGTAGAAAATAACATTTGATTTTCAACAGAGACTCAAAGCAGTGTATCTAGACTTTCAAATGAAATGTATTAGAAATTATACTCCTAGCATAAGTTTCTAGATAGACGGCTCTAAGGGGGAAGACGGCAATAGGTTGCATAACATGTGGTCCGGATCTAACCGTTGTTTTGAGGGAAGGGGAAAGTGAGTGCAAGTGTTTTACTTATATGTTCGCCTATATACGCATGCAAGGTTCGGAAAATGCCTGCATAAAACCGTGGGAAGGAGTAATAACTGGTTTATTAAAAATGCAAAATTCGAGTATACGGTACACTGCCTTCGTGTTCATGGGGGACCTTGTACTGCCTTTGTGTCCATGGGAGACCTTGTACTGCCTTCGTGTCCATGGGAGACCTTGTACTGCCTTCGTGCCCATGGGAGACCGTGTACTGCCTTCATGTCCATGGGAGACCTTGTAATGGTAACCTATAAAGAAAAAAGATGCACAGTAACAGGTTGATCTGCTTATCTAAACTTCAATGTCCGCGCAAGGTATCCTGATCACAGCGCAGCACTACCTCAGCGCTGAATCAGTATTACAAGCCGGGAAATCAGTTCTTTATGAAAGGAGGACCCTCAGAACACACGATACAGGCCATGGAAGTTGCAGTGACTCGTTGCCTTAACAGGACTGAGTTAGCGCTGCACTGTATGTGTGAACCAGCCTTAAATGCAGAAAGTCACATTCAAAATTCCTACATTTTTGCTCACCCAGGCACTTAATTTACACACTACCTTGATAGTTTAATGAGTGGCACTAATAACACTGTCAGGGGCACCATAATGCAAAAGTATATTTTGCCCCCGAGTCTGCGAGAATCAATCGCTCGCTGTTTTGCCACCGCATTGCACTCTTTTTTATTTCGGCTTTTGAAAAGGTCTTCCAAAGATAAGCCAGCAGATGTTGCCGCTTATGAAGTTTACCAAATTCGAACATAGAGAAGCTAAGACTTATAAGCATCTTGCAGAATTAATATGGCAATTCGAGCCAATTGATCCATGATCGTAGACAAGCGCCGCAAAAACACATGGACAATAAGTGGTGGTAAACACTGGCGCCAGTGTTTTATGCCCA